AGATAGATAGATAGATAGATAGATAGATAGATAGATAGATAGATAGAAAGAAAAAGGAAGTAAGAAGAAGGAAAAAGGAAGGTAGAAGAAAGATAGAAAGAAAAAAAAGAAAGAAAAAAGAAGTAAGAAGAAGGAAAAAGGAAGGTAGGTAGGTAGGTAGGTAGGTAGGTAGATAGATAGATAGATAGAAAGAAAGAAAGAAAGAAAAAGGTAGAGGAAAGAAAGATGGAAAGAAGGGAAGGAAGGAAGGTAGAAGAAAGTTAGAAAGAAAGAAGGAAAGAAAGAAAGAAAGAAGGTAGAAGATAGATAGATATAGATTGATAGATGGATAGATAGAAAGAAAGAAAGAAAGAAAGAAAGAGAAAGGAAGTAAGAAGAAGGAAAAAGGAAGGTAGAAGAAAGATAGAAAGAAAGAAAAAAGAAAGAAAAAGGAAGTTAGAAGAAGGAAAAAGGAAGGTAGATAGATAGATAGAAAGAAAGAGAAAGGTAGAGGAAAGAAAGATGGAAAGAAGGGAAGGAAGGAACGTAGAAAGAAAGAAGGAAAGAAAGAAAAACAGAAAAAGAAAGGAAGGTAGAAGAGAGAGAGAGAGAGAGATGGAAAGATAGAAAGAAAGAAAGAAAGAAAAAAAGAAAGAAAGAAAGAGGAAGGTAGAAGAAGGAAAAACGAAGGTAGAAGATATATAGATAGATAAAAAGAAAGAAGGAAAGAAAGAAAGGAGAATAAATTTCCGTCCGATCGGCTCCTCCCCTCTCCCCCCAAAGCCCCCCCCGCCCTCCCCCCCCCCCCCCCCCCAAGCCCCCCCCCCCTCACCGGCGTCTCCCTCGGGCCCAAAGACGGAGCGACGAAGCTTCTCGGGGCTGCGATGTCCGGAAATTCCCGACGGGGAAACGCCCCGCCCCGCCAGCTTCCCTCCCTCCAGTTCGCGCAGGCGCAGAAAGGCCAGTCTGTAAGTGCGGCTGGCGGAGCTTTCGCCGTCCCTCCCTCTCCCCCCCCCGCCCGCGCCGCTTCCAGTTCGCGCAGGCGCAGAGAGGCCAGGCTGGAAGTGTGTCTGGCGGAGTAGTAGCGTTGCGTTTTACTCCTGGGAGTAGCTGGGAAAAGGGGATCAAGCCGGACGGGTTTTATGCCCTCTGGCCATCCAACCAAACCCGGAGCTTTGTTCGTTGGAAGCCGTCACGGGAGGGGAAGACGGTGTTTAGCACGGGGGGGGGGGGGGAGTTGGACTAGATGACCTCTGAGGTCCCCTTGCGACTCTCTTGTCCTCCTTTCTCTTCTTTTTCTGATCTTGGCCTCCCTTGGCTCCCTTTCCTCCGAAGGAAACCCAGGCAGGGAGCGGGATGACAGAAGGACGGAAGAGTTGGAAGGGGGCCCTCGGAGGTCCTCTAGTCCGACAATCCCCCCCCCCGGCCTCCCAAGCCTCTTTTGGGTCGGGATTCTGACCCACCTCGTGTTTGGGGAGGGGTCTCCTCGGAAGTGGGAGGGAGGGAGGGAGAGAAAGAGAAAGGGGGAAAGAGAGAAAGAAAGAGTGTGAGGGAGAGAAAGAGGGAGGGAGGGAGAGGGAGAGAAAGGGAGAAAGGGGGAGAGAAAGAGTGCAATGGAGAGAAAGAGAAAGTGTGTGAGGGAGAGAAAGTGAGAGAGAGAAAGGGAGGGAGAAAGTGTGAGGGAGAGAGAAAGAGGAAGGGACAGTGAGGGAGAGAAGGAGATGAAGAGAGTGAGGGAGAGAAAGAGGGAGGGAGAGAGAGGGGGAGAAAGGGAGAAAGAGGGAGAGAAAGAGAAAGTGTAAGGAAGAGAAAGAGTGAGGAGGAGAAACAGAGTAAGAGAGAGAAGGGAGAGAGAGGGAAAGACAGAGAGAGAAAAGAGAAAGGGAGAGAAAGAGAGGAAGAGAAAGAGAAAGTAGCCAAATGAGGGGGGAGGAGCTAGGACGCTGGGAGTCTCCTCCCCCCCGCCCCTCCCCCTCTTTGGGCGCTCCCAACTTCAGTTCTGCGCGGCGATCCGGGCGGGGAGAGACGGAGGAGCGACTGGCGGAGCTCTGGTGGCCCCTCAAGAGAAGCACCGAAGGTCGCAGAGAGTCCTCCCCCCCCCATCCTGGAAGGAGGAACTCAGGTTGCTCTCTCCCTCCCTCCCTCCTAAGTCCCCCCTCCCCCCTCCCGCAGGCAAAGGGGGGGAGGAGGAGGAGGGGGGGTGGAGGCTCCTCTAACGGGACTGCCCAGCCCTCCCCCCTCCCCAAATTCCCTCCCTCCCTTCCCATGGGGGCGCTGGGGGGGGTGGGAGGAAGTAGAAGAAGAGGGGGAGGGGCTGCAAAGTTTCTCCAAAGTTGGAGGGAGGGAGGGGGCTTCACTTCTGCCCCCAACGACCCCCCTCCCCCCTTTGTCCGGACAGAAGCCCCCCCCTCCCCATTCCCGGCCTCAAGAGGGGGGGAGGAGAGCGAAGTTTGGGCAGTCCGAAAGGGAATTGGGGTTGGGGGAGAGCAGAGGAGGGGGGTTGGGCTAGCTGACCTCCAGGGACCCTTTCCAACTCTGTGACGCTCTGATTCTGCCAGGGCTCTATAGGACGGCTTGAGTGGTGGGAGGGGGGAGGGGCTGGGCAGGGGGGGAGTTGGGCTAGATGACCTCCAGGGTCCCTTTGGACTGGGGGGTCTGTAGAATGGGCTGGGGAGGAGGAGACTTTCTCCTTTGGGGTTGTTTGCTTTTATTTCCTTCCCTCCTTCGTTCCTCCCTTATTTCCATCCCTCCTCCCCTCCCTTCCTCTTCCTCCCTCCCTCCTTCCTCCCTTATTTCCATCCCTCCTTCTTTCCTCCCTTCCTATTTTCCTTCCCCTCTTCCTCCCCTCCCTCCTTCCTCCCTCCTTTCCTCCCCCTTTTTTCTCCTGTTTGGGGAGAGAGAGCTTTGCCCTCCCTTTTCCTTTCCTTCCTCCCCTCCCTCCTTCCTTCCTTTTTCCCTTCCTTCTTTCCTTTCCTTCTTTCCTTTCTCTCTTTCGTTTCCTTCTTTCGTTTCCTTCTTTCCCCCTTTTCTTTCCTTCTTTCCTTTCCTTTCCTTCTTTCCTCCTTTCCTTCTTTCCCCCTTTTCTTTCCTTCTTTCCATTCCTTTCCTTCTTCCCTCCTTTCCTTTACTCCTTTCCTTTCCTCCTT